CGATTAGGTAATCAATTTCATTTAAATGAAAGCAGAAAAATTATTTCACTAGAAAGTAATTGAAAACTGCTTTAATTAGTTCAGTTCACCTTTTTTTTTACTAGACAAAGTGTACTTTGTAGATGCTGATAGTTCAGTAGAAATGAAACTTGAGATCTAGGCTGAATATATTGCTATGATCATAAGGTTGACTCATATAAATCGATAGGTTCGAATTCAATGTCTTGTTGTTCGACAGTAGATACCATGATACGATAAGTCATAGGGTTTATGTAATACATTCTTTTTACTATTCAGTCTTTATTGTTAATCTGTTCCGAAATCCCAGACAGCAAACAATTATGATCTTCGTAATCGTTGTCTGTGTAACCACACCAGTGACTTCATAACGATGGTTTCTTTTAATCGTACATAAAGGGAAGAAGAAGAATATTACCGAAGATGGGTTGAGATTGTCGTGGCCAGATGATAAGCAACATTGGCACAAATAGCTAAATGAATAAGTTTTACTCTTGGCTAAGATGTTACACGTAACACTAAGATGAAGTAATTTGTTACGGTCTGATCGGTTTTTAATAAGATGTATGTGCTTGTGATTCAAAGTGTCCCACTTTTAGGTGTCACAGATTATTATTATCAATTATCCCTTGGGTTCCTAATGGAACATAGGGCTTCAGTAGCACGTCTCCATTACACTCTCTTCTCTGAAATCTTTCGAACCTGTCGCCATGACTGCCCACAACCTCTCATCTCTTCCTCACACCATCTCCTCCATGTCACCCTCACCTGAGACACCCAACTTGTCGCTTCCCATCTGGGTTCCACTCGACGGTTTGGCCTGCCCCGTGATGTTCTCAGTCAACCTTCTCAGTGTATGTTCAACCAGAGATGATACTTCATGAAATTTCAGTTGTCTTGTCATTTTTTATGGATTCATCTTCCGTATGCTTCTTAGAACTGTTTTATTAGAATATTACTCATATATGAAGTTGTTTGTTTGCTAATTAGGGTTAGGGAACAGCATGAGCCCTTTACTGATGAGCACAGAGCACATAACCTAGATTTAGGACTTCATGTACACTGTCTTCCATACTTTAACATTTATCACAGTGTACGATGTTGCTGAATCTTCTAGCTTGTGAACTATATTACTAGATGATCGATGAAATTCAGTCAACAGCCGGACTAAACAATGTGAAAATAATTATGCTTCAGTTATCAACAAATGAAGTACTATTCATCTAAAAGTACCAGACTTTAATATTTTATTCCTGACATTACAGTTTCTAAAAATGCATCTGAAAATGTTGATGGAAACATTGACAATCTATGTATATTATTATCTCCTTTTTTGTATACGAATTTTATTCAGAATAATGTACATCAAAAAATTGGATCCATTCAAGCTAACATTCAATTCAAATATATTCTTAGGCTTACATAATTTTACAAGGGATATTATGAAAACTTTCGAGAAGTTTAAATGAAGATAAAGTTCAATGAACGCCTGATAAGACTATAAACTATAGGAAATGTTTTGGTTAGAATATAACAATCGATTGATTGTACCAACTCAGTGTAAAACTTTGTTTCCATTTTTTTCATCTTGAGATGCACAGAAACTAATCAGTCTAAATATATAGTTGTTGGTATAAAGATATGTGTTCTTCGATAGCTTCAGAAGTAGCTGGTTGAAAGAAACTTCCATGTGGACCTGGACTTAGGTTTTTTGCTTCTTTTCCACTCTTCACTAAGGCATATCTGCAAGCTTAAATGATGTCCACTCTGGTATTCAAACTCGCCTCACTAGTGTTGCAGTCAGAAACGATACCAGTGAGCTGTTCGAGTTGCCGTTGGCCTCTCGTAGGAGCGGATTAGATACACTAATTGATCACTGGAAAGTAAGCAATTTTATGCCATCTCGTCCTGAGAGCTGACTAAATTCTGTCGACCATTATGCTATGAGGTCACCCGGTAAAAAGATTCGACAGCACGGTGTATTGTGGTTGTTGCTTCATGGTTTGGGGCAATGGGTAGGAATCCTAAGACCTAAATACTCCATTTGATACTTATCAGTTAGTTTACGGTCATCACAACTGATTGTTTGAAAATACTGACTCAATAAGTGATGCATATTGCTGGTTCGCAGTTTAACACATGGAGTGGCTTATTATGGATATTTCAGCATACTGAATTGCTACAATTGTGCTTTTCATAGCATAATATATTCAAACACTTTGTCATATTCTAATCCTGAAGCTTCGTTGGGGTTGTATGAAATAAAACAAACTATTTTCAGTTCTGCATATGCTAATGTTATTCGTTAGGGTCGTTTGTAGCATTAGAAACTTTATTTTCTACAGAAAGCTGTAGGTGTGTTGTACTTGACTTTGATTCGATGTAAATAACCCTAGAATGATGCCTTATAGTCCTCATATTCCATGTTATTTTCGGGGTGTAAGGATTCGGATTTCCATATCTTTGTACACAACTGATCAGTTATATATTATCTAACTATTTACTGGATACTTCAACATCCCTATTAGTAATGTACAAATTAAAAAATTATCATTTACTACCAATGTTCAATTAGTCTTTCAAGTTGCTGAGTTTTATTTCTGGACTGCTTACTACAACTAAACATGCTAAGAAGATATGATTAAATAATAAGTGTAACCTTTTTAACATTTTATTTATTATGCAGTGCGATTTCAACCTTAACATACAGAGTTGAACTTCCATCTATCATTCTAATAAACAGAATAACAGCTGAAATTCTCCAGCTCAAGTAACAAACAAAATGTTAGGTGAACTTTGCCAATGCTTGAAGATAAATAAAGCCTAAAGCTAAATGTCGCACAGATTTTTTGTTGACTTAAACATGCTATGAACTTAGCTTTATTTCAGTAGCGTCTTCTAAGAGTGTTTTCCGGAATTAACCCAGATACATGTTTTTCAATCGGCTGGATAAAACGTTAATCTTTATTCTACATACAAAATTGGCACATCTGCATTCATACCATCAAAAGAAGGTATACAGTTATCAAGATTTATATGACCTAATGATTTGGAATAGCGTTACAGACGAGGGTGTAATAACCAGGATCGGAAAAGCAAGCGTGAACAAGATCCAGATTTTCAACACCAATCCAGTCGAGTCAGTGCTTCTATAGGATTCAGAAACTCGGAATGTCACGAGAAGCATTCCAAACAAAATACAGATACTCATCAACAACTGCCACCTACACTGGCTCGTTACTGAAGGTGAGATGGCCAGAATAATGAGAATAAGGAACAAGGGACTCACTATGGCTGTCTGTCTGTCTGTCTGGGCTGGCTGGTGGTGGATGGATGGCTGGCTGGCAACGAACCAAACAACAACCTATCGCTCAACAAATATGCACTCGAACGAAGAGGAGATGGATTGGATCGGGTATGCATTGAGAAGACCGATTGGGGACATCACCCGACACGCCAGACACTCGAGTTGAACTCGAAATGGGAAACGGCGAGTTGGTCGTCCGAGGTGAGGATGACATGGAGGAGATGGTGTGAGGAAGGAATGAGAGGTTGTGGGTAGTTTTGGAGTGAGTTTGAAAATATTTGATAGAAGAGAGTGTAATGGATACGTGTAAGTGAATCCGTATGTTTTACTACGAACTCAAGGGACAAATAATAATAATAATGATTCGGAATATGATGTGTGAAGTTAAATAATGAATATGTCACCTTGAAATAGATAAACTGTCCTGGATTTGTGTCTAATCTGATTGATTATAGATAACATTGCAATTAAGATTCAATAAAGATGAAGCAAACAGCATACGTAAACAAAATTTTCTATTTCCAGTAATATATATACATTTGTTTAACTTAATTATACCAGATAGTTAAATAATTGCCATGGGAGTAAGTAGATATCATTATAACCGCATATATCTATACATGTAATCATTTTATATCCTCTGTCTTTGGTCTATTTTCATGCTGATTCATGAAATTTGATAATAATTATGCAGTTAAGCATATTGCTCTAAAAATATTTTATTCAATATCCCTCTTTGATACACCTCAGAAATGAGGTTTTTCCAGTTGTCTTAGCATACATACCTGCTTTTAGTTGGTTGGTAAAGGGATTTAGAAACCTGAAAGTTAGTTAGGTGAGTCTATCGATTGCTTTACTGATTCCATTTAGAATATGATTGAGTGAAGCGAATCATACATTTACATATGTTCCAATGTAGATGTGAGTATTCCCTAAATGATATAAAGACTCATTATTATTATTATTATTGTTTGTAGATGTCCGTAATTCTTCACTATAATGGTTGATCTAATCTATCGAACTCTGTTGGAAATATGAATTCCTGTGTGGTTTTCTTGATAATTGTTTGAGTATTCATCGTTATAAGTGACTTGATGATGGTTGGTAGAGGACTTCATTTGAGGTGTTTTGTTGTATTCGGCACTCATCAGCTGGACAGGCCCAGTCATTGGGGTATAGGGATATCCAGCTGACCAGTCCTGAATCGGACTAGATGAACGTTCTTAATTTACAGCATCTTGCATGAAGTATATAAATAATCAAGCACTGGGTTAAGTGTGGTATTAAATGCTGCATCCAAACCTATTGGTTTACATCCAGAATTTAACAGCATGAAACTTGTTGCAACTCACTGCTAGACCACTAGAATCTGGGGATAAACACAGAAGTACCAATATGACTACAAGCATTCTTGGTAACCATGCAATTTTCAACAGATGAAAAGCATTTATGCTTACTCTCCAGTTTCTCATTATTACGTGAACTGAACAGTTAAAATGTGATTAAAGTAACAAACAAATAACTGTGACTAACATATAGGCTATCAGTCAAACTGACAAACCATTCACATAATGGAATTCATACTTTCGCATTTGTAGTAAGTTTCTATGCCAATTTTCAGTTAAATATTTGTGGAAAAAAATTATAAGCAAACATTTTCATCTTTACTTCTCAGGATATGACCGTTCTATACCGGGTTATTCTCGATTTCGAATAATTGGAGATGTTGGACGAGGTGAGCATACACTTCAAATTACAGATGTTCAACGTGATGATGCTGGAGAATATGAATGTCAAGTTACTCCGGTACCAGTTAATAATCATCCATTATTAAGGAGAAAAACATATTTAGAAGTACTAAGTAAGTTTTCGTTACAGTACTAACAGAACCATATTCGAAATGTAGATGAATCCAAATAGTTTAAATATGTTTTTATTGAGTTTCATTGAAGCAAATTACTTATGCTTTTTTTATTCGCAACTTCGATACTCTCATCCCCCGCCCCCAGCTCTCTGGAGTAGTTTTTGATCTACTTACTAACCTACTGACACTATGGACAGTAATAATTCCTGATACTTGACAGGAGATAACAAGGGGGAGGGATAGCTATTCGTGTGAAAGTTTCTAATACAAGTTATCAGCTATTTACAAGGAGGATTTAATCGACAGTAGGCTGTAAAGTCATGATATTTACAGAAATGCGCCTTTTAGCTAGCAACATGCATGTAGAATATACTACTATAAAAGCTTAAAAAGTAGTTACAATTTATAGTGTCATTTTTGTCATTTAAGTTTTGAAATGAATTTTCTTGATAAATTACGACAAATTCAAATGAAAATATTTTACCGAAATTTATCTGATGCGTTGCTAATAGAACTGTCATTTAAGAGTAAACACAATTACAGGCCAATATAGTAGAATCATTTTTTACCATCATCTGAGTTTAGTACACATGCATACTGTTGATTATCGTTACATTCCTGCTACGTTATATATTAGATTACTTTGCTACTATTCATATCCATAAATCTCAGCTAATAAGTCAATTAGGTGAAATGACTCAAAGTATATCAATCCTCAAGAATTAACTGCTTTAATGGAACTGTGATATGACGTAATATTCTTCTCACTGAAAGGCAAATTCAGTTGGAATTCAAAAAAAAAATTCTTATCAGTACATTTTCTAACACCATGGATAACAACTTTTCCCGTAAAAGAACCATTTATTCTTTCAAAATCACTACTAAATTATACTAGATTTGTTCATTAGGCTTTTACAGATTCCTTGCATGAACTTTTATTGTGTCAATGAAGAGTTTGTGAAATAGAGAATGAATCAATACATTGTAATAAAACATGGCATCAATGTATGAAGTCTTTGACTGTTAGTTTGAGCCATGTGGAGTGATGCAGACTAGGTGGTGGGGTTTGTGGGACAAGAGGAACCAGTGGCTAGAGACTCAAGGTGATATGGCTCAGAACCGATCTCAATGAAGCACATGTATACATACATTATCCTCATCTTAATGACGCTATACCGAATATCACCACTTTCTCATTCTTCGTTTCTCTCTTATCTTCATCTTGCGCCTCACTGCCTTTTTACTTGATGTATTTATGTGAGGTGTGGCAATTCAGACCGTTACGCAGTAATGCCTGGTCCTAGGTTGATCTGGATGGATGAAATAATATAATTCAAATTAAGCTCTAATGTTTTCAGGCAAAAGATAAATTTGACTGTTTAGAAAAATTTGGGCACCAAATTCATTCAGTTCTTTGTGTTAATTCCTGTTAATTCCTAAACAGTTTGTTAAAGTGATAAAGTATTACCTAAAGGATAAGTTATTATTGTGTAAATAGATTCATTACAAATTTATTTATAGTACACTATGTGATTACTTTTCTGGAAAACTATTCATTTACTTCACATAAACAAGATAAACTCATCTCAACCATCCAATAAAATCATTTGAGAATCTTACTTCAACACAATATAGTGACAGTAACGGAATTACTCAACTAGTTTTTCTTCAATTAACGATATGACCTAGGCAACTGCTAAATTGCTAGGTTCTGTCAGTCTTTCAGAGATCACAAGGTTCTTATAACTGTACGCTTCAGTTGCAAAGATCACACTTGCGAATAACCTATGACTCCTTTTGGCGAGGAATTATGCTCCAGTCCACCCCAAGCAAAATATTAGGCCACATCATACTGGAGAGACTAAAGAATGCGCTGGACTCAAAACTACGACCTGAGCAAGCTGGATTGAGGAAGTACAAATCATGTGAGGACTAACTTGCAACCCTATGCGTCATCACAGAACAGAGCATAGAACGGCAGTCAACTATCTACCTCACCTCAACTTCATCGACTTTGAGAAGGCCTTTGACAGCGTCGACCGACAAGCAATTTGGAAACTGCTTCAACACTACGGAATACCGCAAACCTTTGTCAACCTCATTCAACAACTACATAAAGACACCACATACCAAGTAATTCACAATGGGAAGCTCAGTGATGCCACTGAAGTGAAGACAGGAGTGAAACAAGGCTGTCTACTATCACCCACGATATTCCTGATTGTGGTGAACTGGACTGGATCATGCAACAAACAGTGAGGAGTGAGAAAATAAGAAACCCTGGACCGATGAGAATAGCCTAGAAGATTTGGATTTTGCCCACGATGACTTGTGTCCAACGTCACACAAACTCAAAGACCTACAGGCAAAATCCAGCAAGTCGATAGAAGAGGTAAGGCAGCGAAGACGGGATTTCAAGTGAACGTAAAGAAACAAAGGTGATGAAGATACCCAACCAACGCCAACGCCACCACCACCACCACCAACAACAACAACCAACTCCAATCAACATGAAAGGGAGAAACTTAAATGAAGTAACCTCCTTCATCCACCTATGTAGGCAGGCTGCATCGTTTCAACCACACGCGGTGCTGGCACACACGAAGATGTCAAAGCCACCTACAATCGGAAAGACAGCAAGACAGGTGTTCACTAACCTGCAACCAGAGTGGACATCCACTGCACCACACTCAGCATCAAGTGTGAACAATATCCAGATTTTCAACACCAATTCAGTCAAGTCAGTGCTTCTGTATGGCTCAGAGACTTCGAGCGTTACGAGAGGGATTTCCAACAAACTACACATATTCATCAACAACTGCCACCTACGGTGGCTCGTTACTGAAGCTGAGATGGCCAGAATAATGAGAATAAGGAACAAGGAACTCACTATGGCTGTCTGTCTGTCTGGCTGTCTGGCTGTCTGGCTGTCTGGCTGGATGGCTGGATAGCTGGCTGCCTGGCAACGAACCAAACAACAACCTATCGCTCAACAAATATGCACTCGAAGGAAGTGGAGATGGACTGGATTGGATTGGGTATGCACTGAGAAGACCGATTGGGGACATCACGCGACACGCCAGACACTCGAGTTCAACTTGAATGGGATGGGAAACGGCGAGTTGGTCGTCGGAGGTGAGGATGACATGGAGGAGATGGTGTGAGGAAGGAATGAGAGGTTGTGGTAGTTGTGGAGTGAGTTTGAAAATATTTGATAGAAGAGAGTGTAATGGATACGTGTAAGTGAATCCGTATGTTTTACTAGGAACTCAAGGGACAAACAATAATATATAATAATTATATAAGGACTATTAGATCAATTACATAAGTCGAAGTAGCTGACTGTAGTCGGTTTTGATGAAGTACTAAAACTTCACAAATCGAGGTAAATACTGCAGCTGTCAAGTAATACGTTCTAAGCTGATTTAGATGTCCATTGTTTATGTTAAAAATTGAACCACCTTGGTGCGCAATGCTTCTTTTCTTCGTATGACGTTTACTTTGATGTAATAGTGGTTTTTTGAGAATATAATGAAATTCTAAGTTAATGATATGACTGACTCAGTAGTCACTATATGTCTAACTCAGGTGTGATGAAAAAAACCTGTTCAAACACTCAAGGTTTCTTAAACTTCCACTGAATAAATACATGTATCTTCCATGGCCTGACCAAACTTCCTTAAATTTCGAAGAAGAAAGAATTCGACAAAAATGAACCCAGTATATTCTCCGTGCTTCATTATAATGGAGTATTTAAATGGTCACTAATTACTATGAAATGACTGCCTACAGAAGCTAAAGGCAAATCTTGGTGTTATCGGAAACTATGAGATCAAGTAATAGGCTTTAATAAGTACGACGTTCCATTTAAACAATTTTTTTATCACTTCAATCGTCAAAGTTATAGCTAGTTATGCATTAAAATTAAGCATTCCGAAAGATATCAAGCCATGACTACATTTTAACTGCTCTAATCAAATATATATCATACTATGGACCGATTCATTTTTGGATATTAATCAACATCATACTATCAAATCTTAAAGGGTGATAGAATCCTATGAATTATTTCACAGTTAGGTCAAGGAAACTATTTTCAGGCAGTAATGAAGTTGCTGGATCTTTCCACTGTCAGAAATGTAGTAAATCGTTATAAATGAATATTTGATGCTTAACTTTTGTGCTTTGAAAGTAACCTACTTTGTTGTGTTTATCCTGTTATCCAGTTCATGTTTCGTCAGTAAATCATATGATTCTTGAAACACAATGTCAGGTGGATTCCATTTTTGTTTCTTAACTATTTCATTGTGTTTTGTACAACAAATCAGTGCATATTTTTAAAGGATGGTGATTAAACTATGGTTATTTGTTTTGTTTTTCATTTCAATTTTTGTGCATAAATTTAGTTAAACCGAATGAACCTCAAATATTATACCAGAATGTTCAATTGCCAGATAAAAAACTGATATTATCACAACCAGATCCTGTTGCTCGTATTGATTTAATCTGTTTAGCTGCTGGTGGACGACCTCATCCCAGTTTCAAATGGTTGCTTAATCGTAAAGAGATACCAAATTTGGAGACAAAATCTAAAACACCCAAGAGTACTACTGAAATAGCGAAAATGAGTAAGATGTTTGTTATACTAATATGAAATACTTTATATTTAATTGTAAGAAAATAAATTTTTTTAGATAATATTTGAATTCTCCCATGAAAATTATTCTTAGATTACCAGTCCTTCACTTTGCTAACCTCATAACCATTCATAGAGTCGAATTTTTTCATAATAAGGAATTTTGACAATATGATAATGAAATTTAGTTTATCTAAAACGCGGATTGCACTCACAACATATTTTGAAGATATTGAAGGAAAATTAATTACCACAAAAGGGGACAAACAAAGGAAACGACGGTCTGACCATTCGAAAAGCCATTGAATCGACCACCACCTGCAACTCTTCCAGAAATACAACCAAAAGCTCAGTTACAGAATTACCAGTGAATACAAGCCCTCCAGGAAAAGCAGTAGTAAGTACTTAATGCCAAAAAGCGGCTGAAATCCGGCAAAGCAGCAGGACCAGATGCAATCATTTCAGAAGCACTGATAACAGGGGCACAGACGATAACGGATATGCTCATACCACTACTGTAGAAGATTTGCAAGGAAGGAAGGAAAGGTACCTCCAGACTGGAAGAAAAACTACCTTGTCAAACTCCCAAGGAAGGAAAACCTAAGTATTTGCAAGAACTGGTGCGAAATCATGCTCCACTCCTGTCATCCACAAGCAAACTATTAGGCCGCATCATCTCGAAGAGACTGAAAATGCTCTCCATTCAAAATTACCATCGAAACAGACTGGCTAGCTGGCTTCAGGAAGAACAAATCATGCGAGGATCAAATTGCAACACTACGATACACATCATCATAGAACAGAGCACAGAATGGCAGTCAAGTCAACTGCACCTCAAATTCATCGACTTTAAAAACGCATTCGACGGCGTCGACCGAGAAGTAATTTGGTGGGCAGCTGCTTCAACACTGCGGTTTTAGTGCCACAACTATTTATCAACCTCATTCAACAGCTATATGCTATATGACGATGTCACACGTCGAGTGATTCACAATGGAAACTTCAGTGATGCCTTTGAAGTGAAGATAGCAATAAGACATGACAAGATTTCCTCCAACCATCACCAATGGTCTTCCTGATTGTGGTCGACTGGACTGGATCATGCAGCAAACCATGAGGAGTGAGAAGATGCGCATGAGCTGGATGGACCGGTGAAAAGAACCAAGAAGCAGATTCGGATCTCGCCGATGATGATGACTTATGTCTCGTATCGTGTCAAACGAGCTCGAAGATCTACAGGCAAAAGCCAACAAGTTGGCAGAAAAGGCAGGACAGTGAAGGCGAGACATCGTTCAGGTGAACGCAGAGAAGACAGTGGTGATGAAGATACCCAACCAACAATCACCATGAAGGGGAGATATATAAGGAAGTTGTCTATTCCACCTACCTACCTACCTACCCACCACCCCTAACCTACCTACCTACCTACCTACACACCTACTCACCTACTCATCTACCTACCTAGGCAGACAACATCGTTTCAACTATGGGCGACACAGATGAGAACGTGAAAGCCAAAATCAGAAAGACAGCAAGACAGCTCTTCCTTCATCAACCTGAAAGCAGTGTGCACATCTATTGCACTCCACTCCACTCCACTCCACTGCACTGCACTGCACTGCACTCAACATGAAGAGTGAACAAGATCCGTGTTTTCAACAGTAACGCCAATCAAGTAAGTCAGTGCCTCTACGTGATGGTTGAGAGATATGGCGTGTTGCGAAATGCATTTCCATCAAACTAGAAACACTCATCAACAGATACCACTCACGTTCACTCGATACTGGAAATGGAGATCAGATGGTCAGAATAATAAGAATAGGTAACAAGGAACTCATTGTGGCTGACTGACTGGCTGACAACGAACCAACATAGCAAGAACCCATCGTCGAAAAAAATATGCAGCAGATAATGGAAATGAATTGGATTGAGTTTACACTGAGAAGACCATTCAGGGACATCACGAGCTAGGATAGGTTTCTGAGTGGAATCCAAATGGGAAACGACGAGTTGGGTGTCCTAGATGAGGGTAACATGGAGGTGATCATATGAGGAAGAAATGAGGGGTGTGGGCAGTCATGGATTCAGGTTGAAGAGACTGCATGGAACACAGTGAGAAAGCAATGTGCAAGCGAAGCCCTATGTTCCAGTAGGAACCCGAGGGACAAACGATAATAATACTAATACTTCGCATTAAAGACTGTTTGTGATTAAGCAACGACAGCGTGAAAGTGGAGCCAAATATGTCAAGGATAAGCGGTATAATTCGCACACAGGTTTCTCTTATACGTATGGTATTCATGCCCTTCACCAAAACGTCATAACCAGTTGCTTCCTCAACAGTTGATAAATTTCATGTATCAATTCTTATTGCGATCATATTTTGTTGAGATAATGGGTTTTCTTCCTGATAATGTTACTCAAGTTTTGCCGCTAAATCTCTTTGAGTGTTCATATTTTTCTAAAACTTTATATGAAACGGGAATTCGGTGCTGTGAGTACCACTGACCTGTTTCTTCATACATGATGACGGTGTGCTACTATGCTCACTTGACTAACAGTCAATATTGCTGGTGTTCGACTATGCACTTTAGTAGGTATCCAAATAACTCATATTCACAGTTTGACAGAAATCATATGCAAATGATATCGAAATCATTTGTGTTACAACAAAGAATTCCAACGAATAAATAAACTCATATCATCTTGTATATAAAGTTGAAACACAGGGGGGAAAAAATCAGGTTACTATCCCTAGGTAATAAACAAATAAGGAGGAGTGAAGCAAGAATCTTGAAGAATGTAGCTTAACAGCTTCATATTTTACACTAATGCATAGAAAAATGTGCAGTAGTACAAGTTTAAAAATATTCTACTTCCTTGTGAAAATGTGAAAAACCCAAGAACAACATCATGAGCACAGTTCTATCAACTTGTTTCATTTGATCAATCTCTTTTCAATCAATAACAACCATAGAAATATAAATGTTAGACATCACTTGTTTGACAAACTCTGTTTTACTGGAAGTAAAGTTGAGTAGGCAATCAGGATTGAAAATCTAAATGAAGCTAAAAAAAGTATGGCCTAATGTAGTACAGATGAAAGTACAGAGTTACTGGTTTCAATCAATGGATTATAATCATTAAGCATCATTACTCAGATCACATCTATATAACAGACTGGTTTTATACTATTAAGAACTAGGAATAAGTGACAATATTGCACAATCTGTTTTACTCGCTCTTGATCAACTCAAATAGATAATCGGAAAAATTTCTATTCACATTCTTTAATTTTTTTTTTCCAGATAGTTTACTCAAAGTATGGGGGAAATTACATCCTTTAATCAGTGTAGAAAACGTTGGAGATCAATCTACATTAAGTTTACTTAAAGCTGGTTTGGAAGATGGTGATGAAATTGTCTGCAGTGTGTCAAATGCTGCAACTCAAATGCATCATGATGTAATCAGACGAAATTTGTCAGTTGCAGTTACTATTGATGTTCATAGTAAGTTACTGATGATCTGAATAAGTCAGTGCAATAGTGTTTCTTCTAAACAAATCTGTTTTTAGAATTAGTATTCATCATAGACTGATATCACTTGGGAAACCATTGGAAATCTGGGAGCACTAGACAGCTGTTTCGTCCTAGTATGGGACTGCTCAGCACTAGGCACCCACAATCCGGCTATGGATCAAACTCACGACCTTCAGGTTTCATGGCGAACGCGGTAACTATTCCAACCACTGGGTCGGTTTCCAGTGGTTCACAATTTCCAACTTCTGTCAATTTACGACATAGCGCGACTGTCACCCAAGGTCTCCAGTTAGCACCCACTTCACTTCCGACTGGTTGACCCCACAAGTCACAACTTCTCATTAGAACTTCTGATATCATCTGGAAGCAAGTCACTAATGAGCAGAGCACTATACAGTAATGTATTTTTGAGATGAATGGGAATTTTTAATTTAGAAGTAGTATTCATCATGGACTGACATCTGTTTTTGTTTGAGAAATATGAAACACTGTAATTTTCTCCATTTTCCACCTTACATAAATTTGAATAAGATGATAGCTTACTAGGATTGTGCTCTTGTGAATACTTCAGGGAATACTGTCTTTGATACAAGTTTCTTCAACTAGTCCCCGTTTTTTCAGTTATGAAAACTTGGAAGTGTACAAAAGGATTATCAGCGCCTCATCTATCTTCTGAATTAAATTGTTTGATTTTGCTACTAACGTGATTTACAAACTTATTGTTCACGGTTTGAAAGAATGGGATAGTTGAACATCTGGTGGCTAATAGTGGAATCCTGCATGTGCGTCTCTTTTTATCTGAGACTTGTCAGTAGGATGTACCTGCCTCCTATTGGACTCGAACTGGGGACAGATCGTTTTAAACTCCAGTGTGTTATCCACTAGATAATCTAACCAATAGACACCAACCAATTCGATCCAATCAGCGTAGGATATTCAAAACAACAGCATCAAATGCATTACAGTCTAAAGTAATGGAATATCAAATAGTAATAACTATTTCTGCATTTCCCTACAGTAATTTCTAAACTAGAACTCAATAAAGATCAGTTTTTGAATTTTACACTCAAAAAAAGCCAAACTCATGCGTTAACCTTCAACTTTGAGTAGCCTAGTTATCTTCCTTAAAAAATAATATGAATACTACCAGTTTTAGGTTTGTGGGGTTACACTCCAGATGTATTTAAATAGGTAAAAGTTACTTCTTACTGTGGTAATTATACGCTAATAAAAAGCTTTAGAGTAATAAGTATATTTAGTGTTATTGCTTGTGTTACACCGTCGTTGATTCGACCGAATTGATAAGCCTCTATGCGGATGCCTCGATATTGCCTGGCTTTTAACTATGTATAGTAAAGATGGGCAGTGGCTAGCACTAAACCTATGCCAATCGCAGAAGAAGTGGCTATCGTGGCTCGGTGGTGTAGTGGGTAACGCTCTTGCGTTTGAAGCGATCGCTCCCTAGTCCCGGTGGGAACACCATCACTCACTGGGAGGCAGGTAGGATTTAGTATTCATTTTCGCTCTCAGTTGGGAGATTTCGGCTACATTTAGAGTCTTTCTACTTCTACTATTTTATTTTCCATGTTAAAGGAGGTAGACTTAAGCACTCATGATTCTTGTAGTCATTCTGTAAAATCCTATAAACCAACATGTAAGAAACAAATCTTGTAAGTTGCTTTTGTGTCAAAGTTGAATGTTCTTCCTTTTGTTTAAGCAGAACATTTTTTATCTGTCACAAGTCTTATAACTGAGTAAATGAAGTATTTGTCTTCATTGATCACGAATTTCCGTCAGACTTCTCATACTTAATAAAGGTTACGACAGTTAGAGCTCACATTTTATTGGATACGCAGGAGTATTCAGTAGAGAAACCTATTATATCTAAAATTACCAATGTCATCATGGCTCTTCCATATTAGATTTGTTTATTTGGTTTATAAAACATAGTGATACAGTGTAGGAAATTATTGCTCATAATCGTACATTGATAAGATTGTGTACAATAATTTTTGCTCATAATGCCATCAAGTAAACAATACTGTGTCACTGTATGTGATTCTGTCACTGATACCCTAAAAAGGGGGATCTCAAACGCTCTAAGTAGGACATTTTTGCATCAACGTCACTTAAAGATTTGCAAGAAGTCAAAGCAGAAACTTTTGCATCTGACCACTACTATGTGCATATATCAATTCACTTGCTCTTGTGCAGTCGTTCGGCGCGACTGTTATCCAAAACAGTTCAAAAACACTATCCTGCGTGGTTACAGAGAGGAAAAATGGAGCGATTATCAGTGTTATAATTGAATACATCGTGAACATAGATCAATTCTATCTCAAAAACCTTCTCGTGTAAAGTCATTTGTAAGGTGGAAAGAAACCTCACAAGGCTGTATATCTTCGTATCCTCTGCATCACCGAAGCTCTTCCCATCCAAATCGAGAAGCCTGAACTGTGTGCACAAAAGGAGATTGTTCAACCCCTTCTCCTTTCATGGTCTTAATTTTCAGTCTTCTCTGCTCCCCTCCCCCTTCCACTTTTTTCTTTTCATCTTTCTGTTTCGACACTATCCACTTTTTAAGAAATTCGCTACTCATTCTTGTTGCTATGTTTGGCCTGATCACAATTCAGTTTACAAACTTCTTGCTCAAACTTATTTTGATCAATATTCAATGCTCATCAGTTACTTTTTCATTTTTTAAATTTTATTCTAATGACAACTCATTTATTGACACTATTTATGTTGCCATGCTTGACAAAACATTTTTACCTATCAAATTCTTAGTGTTATTGCTTGTATTACATCGTCGTTGATTGAACCGAATTGATCAGTCTCTGTTGGTATATGGGCTCTTGTTCGGATGCCTCGATATTGCCTGTGTTTTAATTATGTGTAGTAATGGTGGACAGTGGCTAGCAGTGGGAACAAAATCACTCATTGGGAGGCAGATACATCCAGCTGACGAGTCCCAAATAGGATGAAATGTGTATCAAATTCCTAGACTAGAAGAAAAGTATAAATTTGGGATTGTACAGCCTTGAAAATGAAATTGTAGAAAAGAGACTGTCCTCTGAAATATACTTGTTCTTCCTTCAAATCATCAGAAGGAAAATTTCACACAATAAATCAAATAAACAAATCTAATATGGATTTACATTATAATCCCTAAGTTTTATACATATACTGATCATCATGGCTTTTATCTGACAACCAACTGCTTCAATAATGTTTGGTTTTCTTTGTGCAAAATCAAACTTTATGGTATATGCTCACCGTATTGAGAGACAGATTTGTTTATTTCAAATATCCTTAATAGGATTTGCATAGTGAATTGTTGGAGTCCCCGTGTACGAAATCTAGGGGAAAATAAAAATATAAGCAACTTATCTACTTAAATTTGCTGCCTTCTCCTCACGTATTATTTACAGAAGCAATTGACTCAACCATAGTTCAATATTGTAAATCTGAAGAATTTTCCTTTCTTCCTCCAACTGATATATATCAGTCTACGATGAATAACAACTTGAAATATTTCCAACTCTCCACAACTCCTTCAAAATTCAATTGAACTGGTGCTCATTGGTGACTAACTTTGAGAGGTATTCCTGAAGTTCCAATGAGAAGTCTTGATTGGTGGGGGCAAAGCCTGATGGTCGTGAGGACAGTTACCCAATCATGACATTAGGTGGTGGTTGCGCTATATTGTGAGCTAATAGAAGTTGGAAATATGGACCGTTGTATTCTGACCCAGTGGCTCAACGGTAACACGCTGGCCGCAGAGCCTGAAGGCCGTGGGTTCGATCCCTGTTGGTGTGGGGTCACGGGTGTACACTGCTGAGGAGTCCCATACTAGTTGGACGAAACAGCTATCCCTTGCTCCCAGGTTTCCTCCGTTCCTCCAACTGATATCAGTCTACGATGAATAACAACTTGAAGAATTTTTTGTCTCAAACTGAACAGTTTTAAATATAAGTACCCCCTACAAAGGCGTTCTGGTAATATTTGTCATATTTGTATGCAAATATCAAAGAACACCTCAAATGGTAACATACAGCATCTACTACCTGGCTTCTTTGTAATGAGTGGCTAATATTTTCTTGTTCTATTGTCATCTTACTATTTCACTTCTCAATTTTTCTGTCCACCACAACGTGCTATGATGTTTTAATTCATTTTTGTGCACAAAGGTCGTACATGTTTCTGCAATGATAGGGTGAGACTGCTTTATTACTTTAAACTTACTTTACATGAATTTCTGGATCATATTTTTTCTATTGTCCAAATATGTTGGCATAAGGTGACCTAATTTGAAAAAATCTTGATATTATCAATCCAATTTCAAGCCATCATCAGTCACTTTCTTTTGTATGACCAGTAAAAACCAACCTTCACCATCTTACTCCATAGATATTAGTTATGTTTTCTGGTATATTTCATTTGAAATTCAAAACAACAAAACCTGTTGATTTATCTTGATGAGACTTTCGTATTTTCATAAACGTCACAATGATAATCATTCAGTTGTAGGCAATTGTATGAGATGGATAAATCATTGTTGTACATTTAACAGACTGATAATGGAACATTATATACATGTGTAGTTACCTGATACAAAATGAATCTGTGGCAAACAGAGCTTTATGATGGCTATGGCAAAGGTAAAGGTTGGATATACTTTTTTTGCATGTATAACGCTGATTTGAACTTCGAGTGGTTTGAACGAACCCTGTAGACAATTTTGAATGGACTCTCAAAAGGAGCTAAGTGGCCTGAGTTCATGAGGTGTTCTTTTATTGAACTGAAGATACATTTCTGTTCTCTCTTTGCAAGCCAGGCTAGGTAGTGTTCGTGGACACATTTTACAAGCGGATGCATGGTACGGTTGATGTACTCAGCTCCACAAGAGTAAGTAAACTGGTATACACATATTGATGTGGCCTAATGTATCGGCTTGTGTTTCACACATTGACCGAAAAGTTTTTTACAGGAGAAACATTGCAGGAGTACATTATGTTTACCCACAGTATACTTTCCGGATTACTTGACGTAACCTTCTGAAAATTTCTTTCCTTTCAGTTGCTCAAGTTCACAAAATTGACTTATAGTTGTTTCTTCTAATGCCCTTAATAAGTAGATGAGTTTAAACAATCAATAAAGTATTCCCTTAAATTACTCGACTGAATTTCGCATAATAATAATCTTTTTTAAGTTGAATGCCGATGGGAATTTCAAATTTTAACCGATGAGCTGTCAGGATTATAATAAGATTTTTGAAAGTGAAACTATTTTTTCCTCTTTACTTCATATGGTTTTTATAATGATTTATATTTAGATGCACATAAGAAATTCTCAATTACTTAGTATATTTGTCTTAGTTAAAACTAGTCGATTCTGAGTACTTTCCCGCCGCTAACGCTAGTCTATGATATACTAATGAATTGCATAGATCGTCATCCTTGAAGTTTCTAAACAGACTGATGTTAGTTCATGCCATGTTCCAATTGGGGCATACAATAACTAATATTTACTTGAATTTGCAGATATATAGCGACTTATTCATTGATTTCAGGTTGGTATACATCAGTTGGAGAAACAGTGGAAATTTGGGAGCACTAGACATCTGTTTTCCTCTTAGTACTTACATTTAAATACCTTCGAAGACTAATATAGACATTTATTGCATTCACGTAAATGTAATGGGATCATAAGAGATATTCAAACTTATTGCTCAATTCATATGGTCAAGGTACTACAAACAAAACAACACCAAGTGAACAATGAAAAATCTGTTGTTGTTTTTTATTATTCAGTTCTAGGGAAACAAAAGTAGTGAACAAGAATTCTAGTTATTTATATTTTATAGATAAAAGTAGGATAAAATTTGATAGATTTATCCTAGTCCATGTATAACGCTCAAGGATAATGAAAAATCGATTACCTACACTAATCAAAATAAAATCTACTGAATAAAAAATAAAAGTAGTTTAGAGCAATTACACTTAATTTATATCATAGAGAATAAAAATGCTATACATTGAATATTGTACATATACTGTTGACAGTTTTACATCAAAGACAAGCGGAGTATTGATACATTTTCTGTCTATGTTTATCCTACTAAATTATCTTACAATTTGTCTACTATATACATATGACTATCATTTTCCAACCCTATACTGGATATGATAATTTACAGGGACCTTTCTCATAGTCTGAATATTTATGTTATTTCTTTTCATGGAGAGGAAAACAAAGATGATTCAGAATGCAGCTATCAAAAAGGGATAATAATGAGAAAAACAGAATTAAAAAGAATAAAGTATTGAAAGAAAAAACAACGTTCATTCATCTCTTTTATTTATCCACTGAAGTGTTTTAATATTCAGTAGGCTTTATTTGTTAAGTAAGTTTATTTCTAAACTCTTCACTACAACACTGTATTGTATTACTTAGGTATTGAAATATTTATCTTTACTAAAGTTTGTTTACCTAACTTAATTTTTATTTATTTGTCTGGTCAATGATTTCCTTTATTCTATATCACATATGATTTACAGTAAACAAACTAGTAGAGGTTTTGCCTACTGCTTAGTGCTAAACATCTTACTACATTCAGTTTTCGTTCACCTCTTGAATAGAATAATCAAGAAACTCATCCAGATTTATATTCTAAGATAAACAGAATATTTCTCAAGATAAAATATGTTTTTTTTTCATAATTTTCAAATATTGATTAAATAGTCGGTAATAACGAATCACTTTCTTAACTGTATTTCATTAAACTAAATGAAAAATTAAGATGATAGTAGTATGAAAACAATTTTCTTTTTTCTTCTTCATAGCTCCTCCAGGCCCTCCAAAAATTGTCAGTCCTGAATCAAACCATGTTTTTCTGGAAGGTGAAGAGTTACGCGCGGTTTGTGTATCTTCACCACCTGGAAAACCATTAGGAGGACTTTTCTGGAGGTGGTTAGTACAGCCAAGTCAAGTTGGTGATGATGAAATTCAGAGAATAAGTGGTATCGGAGGAAGAGGTGGTGCTAGACTGAGTGATTACACTTCAGTCGAAGCTTATTTACTCAGTTTAGAGGGAGTTGGTCTATCACAAAAGTTGCCAGAACATTCCAATCAGCTACAACCAGGTGATTATATTTCTGAAGATGTTCAACCGCTTCACTACTCATTGACGAAAGAAAAAGACCAATTAGTCAACACGCTAGTCATCCAGAGAATCACTCGAAGATATCATGCTGCAAAATTGGTATGCGAGACAGGTCATCCTGTAGGCATGGCTCATCAAACAAGTATCACTATATATGTAAAATGTAAGATCTTTTTTATCCAGTTCTATCTATGTTTTCTTTAAAAACGTAAACAATATAATCCTATAAACACTTATCATGCACTCCTGCACCACCTGTTTGCATATCATCTGCAGAAAATAAGTACCAGATTTCAAAAAGATAGCTTGATATTAAATGCAGTAAGTAAAAACTGCAGAAAATATAATTCCTTGGTTAGGTTCTTAACTGGAATATTATTATAATTATCATTTGTCTCTCGGGTTCCTGCTGGAACATAGGGCTTCGCTTGCTCATTACTTTCTCACTGTGTTCCATGCAGTCTCTTCAACCTAAATCCATGACTGCCAGCCACCCTGCATTTCTTCCTCACATGATCACCTCCATGTTACCCTCATCTGGGACACCCAACTCGTCGTTTCCAATTTGGATTCCACTCAGAAACCTAGCCTGATGCGTGATGTCCTCGAATGGTCTTCTCAGTGTAAACCCGATCCAATTCATTTCCATTATCTGCTGCATATTTTTTCGACGATGGGTTCTTGCTATGTTGGTTTGTTGCCAGCCAGCCACAGTGAGTTCCTTGTTACCTATTCTCATTATTCTGACCATCTGATCTGCATTTTCAGTATCGAGTGGACGAAGGTGGTATCTGTTGATGAGTGTCTGTAGTTCGATGGAAATGCATTTCGCAACACACCATGTCTTTCAACCATCGCATAGAGGCATTGACTTACTTGATTGACGTTACTGTTGAAAACACGGATCTTGTTCACGCTTCATGTTGAGTGCAGTGGAGTGGAGTGGAGTTCAGTGCAATATATGTCCACACTGGTTTCAGGTTGATGAAGGAAGAGCTGTCTTGCTGTCTTTCTAATTTTGGCTTTCACGTTCTCATCTGTGTCACCTGTAACTGAAACGATGCTGTCTGCCTAGGTAGGTAGATGAATAGGTGTGTAGGTAGGTAGGTAGGTGGGTAGGTAGGTAGGTGTGTAGGTAGGTAGGTTAGGGGTGGTGGGTAGGTAGGTGGAATAGACAACTTGCTTTACATATCTCCCCTTCATGGAGATTGGTGATTGTTGTTGTTGCTGTTGTTGGTTGGGTATCTTCATCACCACTGTCTTCTCTGCGTTCACCTGAACGATGTCTCGCCTTCACTATCCTGCCTTTTTTGTCAACTTGTTGGCTTTTGCCTGTAGATCTTCGAGCTCGTTGGACACGATACGAGACATAAGTCATCATCATCGGCGAGATCCGAATCTGCTTCTTGGTTCTTTTCACCGGTCCATCCAGCTCATGCGCATCTTCTCACTCCTCATGGTTTGCTGCATGATCCAGTCTAGTCGACCACAATCAGGAAGACCATTGGTGATAGTAGGTGGCAGTCTTATCTTACTTCTTCCTGTCTCCACTTCAAAGTGATCACTGAACTTTCCATTGTGAATCACTCGACATGTTTCGCCGTCATATGGCGTATAGCTGTTGAATGAGGTTGATAAATAATTGTGATACAAAGGCCATATGTAATCTGTTTTGTATCAACTGTATAGTTGGTAATGTTTGCTTGGACAATAATTGACACTTAGACTGTGGTCAGATTGATACGTTTTAATTTCATTAGAGTATACTTTATGAAAAGTTGAGGAAATTCTCATGCATAAATTGTCATTTTATAATAATGAAAGGAAATTTTCTACTGGTTGTATGCTTTAAAAACCGAAGTATACACTCTATATCCGTTTCCCGCTAACACATAAGAGGGTTTTTTGTTAAATAATCAGGATATGTAACTGTAAATAAAATCAAAAATGTTAATTGACACATTACACTAATAAATCTTAAAAAATGGGTGTTGTTGTAAACGTAGCATTGGTACCATTGTTATAAGAATTCACACCTTTGGTTTCAATAATTAATAATCTAAAACCAGACTAAACGGGAAACAAACTAATTATTATGTTATAAAGTGTCTTGTTTTCAACCGTTCTGTCCTTTAAAAATCTATAAAAAAATATACTTTTTTAAATGAAAATAGAGATCATTCTGGTGGTCATTAGGTATTCATTGATAATATATAATGAAAATTCACTAAATCAAATTTTCTAGTATGTCCTAGAGGGATAAAAAAAGAACCAATTATCAATTAGTTTTTAAAAGATATTTCTACTGATTGGTCACGGGAGTGCAATCAATTTCATGTTGTCTGGTCCTGAGTGCAGACTGAATTCTATCGATCATATTTGCAACATGGCAACCAAGCTTAGAAGCTCAGTAGATGTTAATCAGTTGAAGGCAGTCGGCAGGAAGCCCCTTTTAAAAAAAAAGATAAACCCTGATTATATTCATCTTTCAAGAATCATCCAGTTTATAAGTAGAGATGTTTGCTTAATCATAAAAAAAAACTAGAAGAAACTAAAGAATAAAACGATACATCAAGCCATGATTTATCATTGATCACAAAGTATTAATCATGATGACATTAGCTTTTTGATATCTTTCCTCAGGAATCTCTGAACCTATAGGTTTCACTCTCATTAGCACTACTCAGAAAAATGGATTTTCATCCTTTAAGAGACTTCTGCCTTTAGGAAGGTTTAAACCAACGTCATGCACTATGACGATCATAGTTTCTACTACTAAACCATTTAGAATATAACTGATTGTTTATTGACCAGAAGCTTATTCTATTTACAGTTGGTCGCCTTGAAAATTTCACACCAGACACAGGGCATTCTAGTGTTCCACAGTCATAACCGTATTGCAATACTAATAGATAGATTTCGGTCGGTTCCTACAACTATGATGTAAATTTTAACTTGATATTATGTACAATACGGAAATTGTGCCGATGGCCAAGTTAGTGCTTTATGCTTCACTAAAACAAGCGTATATTTTAGAAAAGATTAACCATCATAGATGAATTTAGTAGAGTTTGTTGGTGTAATACTTTTCATCATTTGTCAACTTGTTCCAGGTACCAAAACCTTTTAACTTTTATGAAATTACAATCATTCTCACAATGAGACCTGAATTCAAAGCTTACCGATTCTCTTTGTTACATCATATACCATTACAGTGAGATGCAAAGAAGCAAGATGTAAACAGAAGAAATTCTCGGGAAGCCAATAAAATGTACAGAAAGGCATAAGATGTGAAACATTGGCTACAGCTTGTAGTGAAATATAAATAAACAATCGATTTCATTGTGCTTTGAGATAGACGGTGGTTCAGTAGGCTAAGTATATTTTTAGTTATTTAAGTGGATTACGGTTCACTCCTCATCAGCTGACTAAGATGATTTAATTAAGATTTTATATCTAGTCTAACTACTACCTACATGACTATTTCACTGTACAAGTATAATGCAAAGAGGATAGCTTAGATAAGAAGCATAAGACCGCCTTATGTCATTCACTTGAGTTCATGATATTTCACAGGCATGTAGTAAGACAAAGTGAACACCAGTTTAGGGGATCTAATATGTTTTTGTCCCAAAGATGATTCTTTCTGTTTTTAACAATTGACACTATGGGAATACTATAAAGAACACAAAGATGAACTAGTAGCTTACCCAATAGGTAACAACATTTTCGATTTTAATACCTAGAAACAATAATAATTTAGTGTGCTTAGAGTTTTCAAGTTTGTTTTTGAAAGCATCACAATGAAACTAGATGATCTCATCAGCACTTCATAAAGAATGATGCCAAAATTTTCAAGACCAATGTATTGGCCAATCCAGTTGGCAAATAGCCTAAAGAATTTAGGAGCACCAAATCTTGATTGTTCATATACACAGATAAGCACAAACACAACTTGTATTATACAAAATTGAAAACACTACGATAAGCAAGATCAAAACTGCAAGGGAATTTCTAGAAATATGGTTCTCCAATCAAATGGCAATTACCAGATACATGAACCTTGACTCAATATACGAACTACTATGAACGGACCAAACAACTGGAAATCAGTCATGCGAACCAGTAATCAGATATTATTTAAACACCACAGGCTAAATAATAAAACAGTTATAAAGGCCAACCTCTGAGAAAAAAGAAGGAGTGGTAACCACAACTCATAAACCATTATTATTATTATTATTATTATTATTATTATTATTATTCGTCCCTTGGGTTTCTAGTGGAACATAGAGCTTCAGTAGCACGCCTCCATTGCACTCTGTTCTCTGCTGCCTTTTCAACCTGGCTCCACGATTGCCTATAAGCTTTCATTTCTTCCTCACATAATCTCCTTCATGTCACCCTCGGACTAGTTAACCAGGCGAAGTTTCATAAATCATTAATGCTGAAGATCAGCAAATATTCTTCTCAAATATTCAAGCAACTTGAATCCACTTTACTACTTTATGAACTAAATATTAATGAAGTCGCCTGATCTAGTAATGTAAGCCTTAAGAAGAAACATAAAGGCTAAGAGAACAAACAATTATCATCCTCATCATCTACCATAAATCTTCAATGCCATCTCAAGAATAGTGAAATATCATGCTTTTTTCACTGGCTATACAACCTCTCTATAGTTTTATTAATCCCGTTATCAAAATATAGCTCCAATCAGCAGATTAATAAAGCTGTAACTGCTTTTCAAGTAATTTCGTTTCCCCGTTAACTTTGCAAATTGTTTTACATCTGTTAAAGTCATTCCATATGTTCCACAAGAGTTAGACACGTAAGAGATTTAAAATAAAATCATAAGAAAATGGTTGAATCAGAGTTGATTCAGAGGTAAGCATAATAACCGTTTGCAGTAAATTAATGTTGAAGAGGGTTTGAGGAAGTTATAACCTATCGCTATTGCAAAAATCTATTGGTGTGCTTGACAGAAAAGGTCTTCACTGCCAAATTTATAGTACTGAGCATTACTTCAGAATCATAAAACAAACGGTACGGATAAAATACATGTTGAAATTTGAGTTGAATTGCCCAGATGGAATCAATGCGTATCAGTGTGAATAAATATGCATATCAAGTTGGCATTCACCACAGACTGATACCATTTGA